CTCATACACATCAAGTCAAACAATATTTGAATCAATAATTGAAGGATCTTGGACATATTCGATACTTTTGGGGCTTGAGATTGATCACTCGTCTCGAGGATATATTCTCCCACAAGAGTGATTCCTTAGGGGGGTTATTGGTTGGGACAAATTGGGATCAAGTGGAAAAATTGTTCCAATGGAACAATTTTACCCCTTTGGGATATTTTGAGTAGGGTAAAGTGAGATAATAGGATAATTTGAGCCTTTGATTTGACAATTCATGTGAGATAATTGATGATGTGGCACCTTATTAAAATATAATTTTATCTATTAATTACTTCTAAATTAACTTATCCAATTGGTTTAGTATATTATTTAGTATATTATTATAATATAAATATTTTTTTACTTTATATTAAAATATAATATATTATACTATACTTACAAATTACTATTATTAATTATTATATTGTATTATATTGTATTATATTATATTATATTAGCATGCTATACTATATATAATAATTAATATAATATAATATCAATATATTTAATATAATATTTTAATATAATACATTATTTTATTTATACAAAAATATAATATTATGTTATACAAATACATTACTAATTAACATTATATTTTAGTATGCTACATTATATAATAATTTGATATAATATATGAACAATGATATATAATATAATACTTTAATTAAATATATATTAATTATTATATTTTATATTATATTTATTTATAATATTATATATTAAATATATAAATTATATAAACTATCTAATTATTTATTATATTTATATATAAATATATAATATTATAATAAATACGTTATACTATAATTACTAATTAATATTATATAATAATATATTACATAATACTATTAATATATGTTATTATAATATTATATAATATTATAATAAATACGTTATACTATAATTACTAATATATAATATTATTAATATATGTTATTAAATTATGTCATTAAAATATTAATATATGTTATATTTTATAAATCATGTCATATATTTATAATATAATTGCATGTATTAGTTAAGTAATACAAAAATATTTTAAAATTATTCCAATTGCCTTCAAAGTGGAACAACATTGTTTTAATATAAAGGATGAGGTAAATTTTTACTATTGGGACAAATTTTTTGTATATGAGTGGGGTAATTTTATCCCAAGTGGTGTAATTGTCTCACTAGTGTTCCAAAAAACCAATTATCCCAAGTGGTGTAATTGTCTCACTAGTGTTCCAAAAAACCAATAACACAAAAATGTATTATCCTTGTTCCATAATTGTCTCACTAGTGTTCCAAAAAACCAATAACACAAAAATGTATTATCCTTGTTCCATTGTCCCAATAAATAACACTATGAAATAGAATCCCCAAAATTATCTCATTATCCCCCAAAATATCCCAACCAATAATCCCCCCTTACTAATATTTTAGATCACTCTGAGATGACATATACTAAGAATGCACCTACATCTCTTGAGCTTAATGTTAAGCTTCGTTCTATTGATGGTGAGCATTTATCTGGTCCTTCTCGCTACCGTTAACTCGTAGGGAGTCTAGTCTACCACACCATTAGTTAACCTGATATTGCATATGCAGTACACATCGTCAGCCAGTTTGTATTGTCTCGTCCTACAAATTACTATGCAGCTCTTCTTCATATTATTCACTATCTTTGAGGGACTTGGAGCCGATCTCTATTTTTCTCATCCTCCTCCTATCTTTAGTTGTGAGATTACAGTGATGCTAATTGGGCTGGGTATGTTAACGATCGTCGCTCCACAGTTAGTTATTGTATGTTTCTTGGAGATTATTTGATTTCCTGGAAAGCAAAGAAGCAGGACGTTATTTCTTGTTCTAGCTCTGAGGCGGAATATCAGACAATGGTATCCACTACTGGTGAAATTATTTAGCTTCATCGATTACTCGGTGACATGGGAGTGTCTTCTACTACTCTGACTCCTCTCCATTGTGACAACACTAGTGCTATCAAAATAGCTAGTAATCCCGTATTTCATGAGCACCCCAAGCATATCGAGATTGATTGTCATTTCACGTGTCACCACTTATCAATGACACTATGTCCTTACCTTACATAAGCTTTCAGACACAATTGACTGATTTTTTACTAAATCTCAGACCCTCCAGCATCATCTCTTTTACATAATTAAGCAAACTCTTGTTGGTTGATCCACCACGAGTTTGGGGCGGGGGATGGGGGTGGGGGTAGGGGTGTTAAAGTATATGTAAATACTAGTGTGTATTAAATCCTAGTTTAGTCCCACATCGACTTTGTGTAGAGAAGTAGTTATTTGTACATCTATATATTTGGCTTGGAGTCTAATAAAAAGAATGTGCGATTTCCCCAATATTCTGAGTTTAACAATGTTATCTAGGTTCAGATCGTAGCTCTTGGACTGGCTTGATTCTTGAAAACTTGGAAAACTTGGACAATTTTCTACTATGTCCAAAAGTTACCACACACATAATGTATAACAGACTTTAAATATGTATTTTCCAACTTTTGTAAAATTTTAGGTTTCTGCCGGTGAAGAGATGGTTCAATACGAAGCTATATGGAGGATATAAAGGCTAAATAGCACTTATGTACCCTATTGTCTCACCTATTTTCACTTATATACCCCAACTTGTATTTGATAGCAAGAAAACACCCGAAGGTATTTTAAACTTTCACACACACACACACACATATAAACACACACACACATATATACATACATATATACAACTGACACTTAAAACACCCTAAAGTTTTTAAAATTTGCACATAAATACCCTTAGTTATGCAAATTTTAGAGGTATTTAAGTACAAGTTTTAAAAACTTTAGGGTATTTAAGTGTTAGTTTTAAAAACTTTAGGATATTTAAGGGCTACTTTTAAAAACTTTAGGGTATACAAGTGCTGCCAAAATCAAATGAAGGTATATAAGTGCAAGTTTAAAAAATATCTCTAGGGTATAATCTTGCTACCAAATACAAGTGGGGGTATATAAGTGAAAAGTAGGTAAAACAATAGGGTATGTAAAAGTAGGTGAAACAATAGGATATGTAAGTGCTATTTATCAGGATATACAAGCAAAACCTTCATTCTTTTATCACAACTTCGAATCTTCTATATACAGTGCATAACTGAACATGATATTAGGAGCAATTCAGATTCAACTCATACCAAATTTGTATTTATGGCACTAGCAACTTATTTGGCAACTGTTTGGAGAAAAAGTGATCAGCAAAATATTGGGTCAGTACAGGTTCCATTAAAATGAAAAGTAACTTTGAAACTAGTTTTCCGGACCAATCGTCACTTGGTTTTAAGTTAGTATGGTTTTGAACTTAGTCTGGTTCTTCTAAGGACATGTTTAGATTTCATTAGGACAGAGGAAGTTAAGGGAAAATAAAGGAGAGAAGAGAAAGAAAGCTGAGAGTTTTCTTGTCCTCAATTTCACCCCAAATTGGAGGATACAAATTTTGTATCGTTGGAAATGAACTAATAAGGGAAATTAGGGGGAACACTTTGTTGAGCGCCGTGTGGAAGCGTGCTCGACAACCAAACGAGTCGGTGAACGATGAGAAAAGAAAACCAAACCAAACCACGAGTGCAATCCACCAAATACGACACAAATCAAACAAAACACAGAGATTTACGTGGTTCAGCAATTGCCTACGTCCACGGGGAGAGGATGAGGAGATTTTACTATATAAAGGAGAAATACAACGGGTTACAACTCACAAAATCACTCAAATATAACCCTAACCAAATCTCTCAACTCTCTCACGATATCTCCCTCTCAAAGTGCTCAAAACAATGCTAATTCTCTCCTTAAGAAACCCTAAAAAACGCAGTTCTATTTATAACAAAACACAATTCCAAACAGATTAGGATTCTAAAAAACGAGTCTGTCACACCCTGGTGTGGCACACACCACACTCCTGAAAAACAGGGCAGATTCTACCACACCAGGGTGTGACAGACACCACCAGGGTATGGTGGAGCCTGTCTTGCCACACCAGGGTGTGGCAGACACCACCAGGGTGTGGTGGAGCCTGTCTTGCTTATTCTTCACGTTTTTCTCAATTCCTTCGTCGTTTTCACACACTTCACTCTTAAAAGCTAACCAAATGGGATGAATGGTCTCTCCTGCCTTCCATTCTTCCCTACTAGTTTGCGCCCCGTGCGAAGCACGGACTTCCCTTTTTTTATCGCTACAGTAATCTCGTTTTTAATTGTTACACTATTTTTAAATGCTACAGCAATATATTTTTAAATGTTGTAGTAATATATTTTTAAACTGCTACAGTATCCCACCTCTGCCGGAATAATATTTTTAGAATGCTACAGTAAATTTTAAAAAAAAATAATACTACGACATCCAACCTATGGTACAGTATAGTCCTTTGATATACTACAGTAAGTTACTGTAGCATTGATGTGGTATGAATAGTAATTTTTGGGTCCTCCCATTATTATAGAGGAATAAATTAGTCTCAATCAAAACTTGGTGCCAGGGTTGTTAAACTTAAACGTAGTTGTCTGGGACTTAATCCAGACAAGAACGATGTTCAATGTACGTGTTTTTAGGAACAAGAGTAAAACCCTAAAAATCACGAGGTAAATGTACTCAAAAAAAAAAAAATGCAAACACGAGAAGAAGACAAAATAAATTTCGTGACACCAAAAGAAGCCAAGTCAACAAGACTTCTTTCCTATCACCGGCAACTTTATTGTTATTATTATATGTGTCCTTATCTATCTTTTTGGTTCAATCTTGACTTAGAACGCATCAAGACTCAATTGCCACACGCCTTCCTCGATCGCATTTAAAACAACTAACAAAATAAATAACATTCCTCGACGTGACCGCATCAATTCGCAACCCGCACCCCTCTGTTTTCTCCCCGTACGTGTTTCCTCATTGATTCCTCTCCTAGTCCTCAACATTAGAATAATCTTAATTATATATGTTATCCAAACTTTTCCCCTATAAATACCTCTCAATTCCACCCTCTGCCCTTTCAAGCTCTCATTTCCCCCCCTCTTATTCTCTCCATCCTCATATATAACCCTCAGCTAATTAATTTGGTCATGGGGTCTTCTTGGTTTAACCAAACTCCGATCAATCTCGACCTCAACATTGGCCCTCAGCATCGAAGGAATCCGCTAATGAAGGAGGAGACCGGCTCATTGCCCCTCGCAGGCAAAACGAGCTCGCCAAGAGAAGAGGTTGGTCCTTAATTGATTACTCGAATCAGACCACGAGCATGCTAGCTTGAGCACTGCGGAGCTATTTAATAAAACTAACGGGTTGTTTGTACTTTGTGCAATTATATAACACAGCTCGAGGCGAAGTTAGAGCGTATGAGCGAGGAGAACGAGAGGCTGAAGGAGAAGCTCGCGTCAATGCAAGCGAGCTACGCTCTCCTGCAAAACAAGCTCGTCGATGTGATGGCCACGTCGTCGTCGGAGGTGGCGGGCCCGCCGTCGCCGACGAAAAAGAGGAAGGGCGACGATAGCGCTGAGATGAGCGACGATTCCTGCAAGAGGCTAAGAGAAGAGGCCCGACCGATGATCTCTAAGCTCTGCGTTCGGACCGATCCGTCGGACCCTAGCTTGGTGAGTTAGGAACAATATTTTGAGCTAATTATAGTTAATATTAATCAAATTTTAGAAGCTTGTTTTTCGTTGATAATTAATTCTAATGATTTTTTTTTTGTTGTTGTTGTTGGTTGTGCTTTAATTATTAGGTGGTTAAAGATGGGTATCAATGGAGGAAATACGGACAAAAGGTGACTAAAGATAATCCGTGTCCAAGAGCTTACTTTAGATGTTCCTTTGCCCCTGCTTGCCCTGTGAAAAAGAAGGTATAAACACAATTTCGATTTTAAATTTCATGTAGTGGTGGGTAATCCTTGTAACAAATTAATTAGCAACGATAGGTAATTAGCTTAGTTTTGGACCATGTTAGTTCTAAATTGTATCTTTTGCATCTCGACTCCCCGCAGGTTCAGAGGAGTGCTGAAGACAGGTCAATGTTGGTCGCCACCTACGAGGGAGAACACACGCATCCCGGATCGTCGTCGCAAATCGAGCCACCCAACGGGGACGGACTAAATCTAAGCTCGGCCGCCTCGGCCCACCCCTCACCTCAGGTCCGGCCATCACCCTCGACTTGAGCCGACCACGGCCGCAACGGAATCAGGACCGAAGTAGCCCGGAGGTGCAGTTCGCTGACCATCAGAGGAAATTGGCTGAGAAAATGGCCATATCATTGTCTAAAGATCCCAGTTTCACTGCCGCGTTGGCTAGTGCAATCTCCGGGAAATTTCTTAGGTTTTCGCCGGATAGTTGCTGACAGGAGATTAGCGAACCATTTTGTGATTTTATTTTTTAAATTGTTGAAAGATTTCTAGCTTGGGAAATTAATTTGATTGGAACAAGAATTTCCATAGATAGATAAATTTGTTGGGATTGAATGCCCAAGATCAAATACAAACGCCGTTCAAGAAGGACAAACAAACAAAATGATAGCACAAACGCAAACAACTAATTTTACGTGGTTCGGCAAATTTGCCTACGTCCACGGGAACAGCACAATTAATTTATTATTAATAACAAGAAATTACAAATAAGAGAGAGGATCTCAAACTTGAGATCTCACAAACAAATAGCATGTGATTTTAATCTAAAAATCACCGCTCAAACTCACAGATCTCACAAATCAACAACAGTGTGATTTGGGGAACCGATGGGTTTCACCAAATCGCAGAGAGAACGGAGGATCCAAACACGCCGCCTCCAATCGCTTTCTCTGCCTGTCGAGCCCTCGCCAGACGCAACCCTCGCCTGCACAAACATCGGCCGCACGACCTCGCCATCAGGCGAGTCCTTCGCCTGCACCTCGCCTTCAGTGTTCCATCAGGCGAGCATCTTGCCCTCGCCTCCAATCCGGTTCGATCTTCTACAAAATTGAGCATGCACGAAAGCATGAAGTTAGCTGATTATTGTTATGACGTGGTTGTGTACATAAAAGAGCTAACTTCCAAAGAATGTGCTGGATTTTTTGTAATCTCTTTGTTTTCTCCGATGTATGATTTCCACAATGGAAGAAGAAAGTATTCACTAATGACGCTTTTTTAAATGTCACTCTTTAACAAGTTTTTTGTGATATAAGAGTACGTAGTCATACTTCATCGTGTATATATAATGCTAATTTATCATGTCTTACTTCGTAACTATTTTTAATGCCACAGATAAGTAAAATAAGGGACAAATATAACTTGTGGGAAAAAAATTATTTTGTTGTAAAGATCCTCTTA